CACCCCCACCCCCACCCCCACGACTCCCCCCACTCCGAGTTCGTGCTCTGGAGGAATAAATAATTAGGAAGAACAGAGTGGGTGGGGTTGCCTATGGGGGCTATACCAAACAACTGGAGACGTGAAGACGCATGTGCAGAACGCTTAGGGCGGCTTCACAAGAGAGCACAGATCCAGAAGCTACCAATATCCTTCCACGGGAAGATGATTAAACCAGCATGCCATGGACCAGGACTCAGCAAGGGGAATATGTTAACGCTCTTTCTAAACCGGAGAGTGGAAAAAGTCAAGCCTGAAAGGTTCCTTTCTGTATGTGTCTAAGACATGGTTTCATTTTGTAGTCCAGACTGGCCTGGAGCTCTCAACCCTACTGCCTGGTCCTCCAAAACGCTGAGTTTGCAGGCGTAAGCCACTGTACCTGGAGGAGCTGAGGTACAGGTGACTATCTTAAAATGATAAACAAACAAACAAGCCACAGAAATAAGAATGTTTCCAGAGTTCAGACAGGCTGGAAGCTTGCTGCGACAGAATGTTTTGTCTTGACCGGCTTCTGTGTCAGTCTCCACCCGATGATACCCTAGCATTGTTCTGCAAGATGCTGGCAGCCCACTGTGCTGCTGCAGGATGGGAAGGGAGAGGGGCCAGGGGGCGTCTCTGTGAAACTTCTTGTAACTACTTGTAAATTCACAATTATCTCAAAGTAAAACACATAGTTAGCACATTTAACATAAGCCCACAGAAGCAGAGAGCGCAGTTCTGGCTGCTTTCCAGGAGATACACAGGAAGCCTCTTCCAGAAGGCTTCCAGTTTTCATAATTAAGGTTTATCAATCATGTGCTAGCATTTTTTTTTTTATTTTCTTGAAATGTAGCAGGAAAAATGTCTAGTCACAGTGAAATGTGTTTTTGTTTAACACAGTGGTTCTCAACCTTCCTAATGCTTTGACCCTTTAATACAGTTCCTCATGTTGTGGTGACCCCCAACCATAAAGTTATTTTCGTTGCTACTTCATAACTGTAATTTTGCTACTGTTGTGAATTGTGATGTGGCTATTTGAAATGTGACCCACATGTTGGGAACCCTGGTCTAACAAGATCAAAAGCCTCACTTTTTTTTTTTTTTAAGATTCCCCTCTTTTTAAAATCGAATTTTATGTGTGCAGGTGTTCTCTATGTGTGTGTCTGTACACCATGTACATGTCTAGTGCCCAGGGAGGCCAAAAGGATACATCAGATCCCCTGAATTGGAGTTAGATATATTTATGAGCCATCGTGTGGGTGCTAGGAATAGAGCCCAGGTACTCTGGAAACCCCGACAGGTGCTCTTTGTATAACTTGGAATTTGCTCTGTAGACCAGGCTGGCCTAGAACCCAGAGATCCACCTGCCTCTGCCTCCTGAGTGCTGGGATTAAAAGTGTGCACCCTCATTGTTGGGCTACGTTTGTGTGTCTGTATGAGGGTGTCAGATCCACTGGAACTGAAGTTACAGACAGCTGTGAGCTGCTATGTGGGTGCTGCGAATTGAACTCAGGTGCCCTGGAAAAACAGATGAGCCATCTCTCTAGCCCCTCTCACAATTTTTTAGCTTGTAGAAATAAGCTAGAGATGGTCTTTTCCACTTTCCTTATGTCACAGACTAGGAAACTCAGAAGTATTGGGATAATCTTTTTTATACATTGTGTGAAGATGTGTCCCTGTCCTTCTTCACCTGAAGGCACCTCTAATTGGTTTGATAAAGAGCTGCATGGCCAATAGCTGGGCAGGAAAGGATAGGCAGGACTTCCAGGGGGAGGTAGGAACTCTGGGAAATAATCAGAGGTGCAGAAGATTCACCAGCGGAGGAAGCTGGGCATACAGTATTGAGGAGAACATAGATTAATATAAGTCGATTCATTTAAGTTTTAAGAGCTAGTTGGGAACAAGCCTAAGCTAATGCCAAGCTTTCATAATTAATAAAAAGTTTCCAATTATATATATATATATATATATATATATATATATATATATATGGGGGAGAAATGTTACAATGAAACCAGTTCTTTGTATACTAAATATTTTATTTTCTTTTGAGACAGGCAGGCCTCAAGCTCACTATGTAGCCAAGGATGATCTTGAATTTTTCATTCTCCTGCTTCCAACTTCCAAGTACTGGGACCCAGGCATGTACCACTATGTCTGTTTTATCCAGCGCTGGGCATCTAACCCAGGGCATCAAAGATGCTAGGCAAGTGCTCTGCCAACTGACCTACGTCCTAAAATGTTAGTTTAAAAAAATCTTCTAGTTTGCTTCTGTTGCTGTGATAAACACCAGCACCAAAAGCAATCAGGAAAGAAAGGGTTAATTTGTCTGACACTTCCAGGTCAGGGTCTGTCACTGAGAGAAGTCAGGACAGGAGCTCAAGAAGGAGCAGAGGCAGGAGCACTGAGGAGCACTGCTTACTGTCCTGTTCTCACTGGCTCCTGCTCAGCCAGCTTTCATAATACAACCCAGGGCCACCTGCCCAGGAATGGCACCTCCCACAGTGCCACTGTCAAGAAGATGCCCACAGACCAATCTGATGGATGCAGTCAATCAACTGAGAATCCTTTAGATTATTCTGGGGTGTGTCAAGTTGATGGCTGAAGCTAACTAGGAGGAAAAAAAATTTTTTTTGAGACAGGGCTTCTCTGTGTAGCTGGGGGGCCCGTCCTGGAACTCGCTCTGTAGACCAGGCTGGCCTCAAACTTACAGTGATTTGCCTGTCTCTACCTCCTGAGTGCTGGGATTAAAGGCATCAACCACCACCACCAGGCATAAAATTACCTTTTTAAATTGCCAAGAAGAGTGGCAATCCCACCACTTGGGAGACTGAGGCAGGTGGATTGCCACAAATTCCAGACTAGCTTGGGCTGCATAGGAGGAAGTACCAGGATAGCCAAGGTTACATAGTAGCAACCAACGATCTAACTGACCAACCAGACAAACCTATGAATATTTTTTAAAAGACCCAAAGTCCAAAGTGACATGGCTAGAACTTAGTCACTCTAGAACCCAGCCCTGTAGTCTCACTTTTTAAATCAAGGCAAGGGCTGGGGACATAGTTCAGTTAGTGGGGTGCTTGCATAGCACGCAGGAGGCCCTAGGTTTGCTCCCCAGCGCTACAGAACAAACACAAAACCATAGAATAAAAAATAAAACAAACAAACCAAAAACCACAACAAAACAAGAGCAGGCAGGTCAGTGTGCAGAAAAACACCGCTACTCTAGTCCTGTGAGAGTCAGCTCTGACCTCACAGCCTTCCACAAGAAGGCAAGTTTCCCAAAGAATTGAATCTACCAGGTGGGCAGTAGGCTCCAGCAGGACCCCAGTGGGGCAGTATAAAGTAAGATTTGGGAAACTGGAAGATGGACACAAAGCTATTAAAAAAAAAAAAAAATCGCTGCTGAGCAGTGGTTGCACACACCTTTAATCCTAGCACTCTAGAGGCAGAGGCAGGGGGATCTCTGTAAGTTCGAAGTCAGGCTAGTCTACAGAGTGAGTTCCAGGACAGCCAGGGCTACACAGAGAAACCTTGCCTGGAAAAACAAAACAAACAAACAACGACAACCAATCTTTTAGAGTAGAGTAGGGATGAGAACCAGCTCTCCACGCTCAGAGAAGGACCTCTCTGCTGGTGTACCCCAGAAATTGACACCAAAGGGAGCCTTTCATCTGTGCCTAGTCAGCAGTCATTGCATAATCACGCCATCACGGAGAGAAAAGCCAGACAAGAGACAGGAGATAGGACCGGACATTTTCAGGACAGCACTGACACTCCTGGGTTGGGCACCTCTTTCCTCCCCTCTTGCCTCTGTTTACCCATCCATACAAAAGGGCTGCATATGCTAGGGAAGGCATCCCTCCTTTCCCCTTAATCTTTCCAGGGAGGCTGAACACATAAACAAATAAGAAATTGCACCTACAGAATGGAGGCGTGGCCGAGGAGGCTGACTACACAGCTGCCGGTGTGCAGCAAGCTCGAAGAACTCCCTGGGTTCATTGAGTGGGTTCCAGCTTCCCTGTGAGTGTTGGTGGAGACACACCACAGAGGAAGGGGTGGGAACAGTGGGAACTTCACTTTTTTGGGAGACGTTTTTTGCCTTGCACAAAACAGCCCCACAGTGAGTGAGTCAGAATTTCCGAAAGGCATAATTTTAGTGCCCTTCTTGCGGTTGCCTCTCCAGACTGCCTCTGAAAGGGAGGCCTCGGGCGGGGTTTCCTGTGCTCAATTCCAGAGATGACAGAGGGGCTCTCCCCCAGCCGTTTGCCAGAATTTTCCTTCCAGATACTTTCTTTTTTTAAAAAAAAACTTTGTAGCAGCAGATAATGCCTTCCTAGGTGCGAATTCTTTCCACACACTTACACAGCGTCCTCAGGGTTTCTTCCTTCTGTGTGGGCTTCTTCGAAGTGAAAAAGGATCACTGAAGAAAACAGGGCCCTAGACTAGTGAGATGGCTCGGTAGTAAAGGTGTTTGCTGAAAAGTGTGAGTTCGATCCCTGAGACCCACATGGTAAAAAGAATGTACCCATTTCCACAAGTTGTCCTCTGACCTCCACATGCTTGCCCTGGCACTGGGCCCCTCCCTCCTTCAGTTAAATAAAGAAATGTAATTTAAAAAAAAAAAAAAAAGATTTATTTTTTTATTTTTTTTTTTATTTATTTATTATGTATACAGTGTTTTGCCTGCATGTTTCCCTGCAGACCAGAAGAGGGCATCAGATCTCATTACAGATGGTTGTGAGCCACCATGTGGTTGCTGGGAATTGAACTCAGGACCTCTGGAAGAGCAGTCAGTGCTCTTAACTGCTGAGCCATCTCTCCAGCCCAAGAAATGTAATTTTAAAGCTATTTTAATTTTATTCTTACTGGAGCTGAGGATGGAATCCAGAACCGTATGCATGCTACACAATGCCCTACCACTGAGCTAAGTTCCCAGTGGGTTCCAACCAGAACCACAATGCCAATAAATACAAACACCGATGCGTAGTGAAGTCCTGGTTTTGGCGGATGCACACATCAGCCTTACAAAAACCACCAAGTCCTGCAAAGACAAAGATAACAGGAATAGCCAACCTATCCATACATATGCAACACTTTGCGTGTGCTTATGGTGTGTGCATGTGTGTTTGCATGTAGAGGCCAGAAGTCACCATCTATTGTGTCCTCCTCTATTGCACTCCACTTTTCTTTCTTTCTTTTTTTGAGGCAAGGTCTTTCTGAACCCGGAACTACTGGCTGGACATGGAGCTCCTGGAGTCCGTCTCCCCCCGCCCCCCTTAACTGATGTGCGCCGATACTTCGGGCTTTCATGTGTTTCAAGTTTCATGTTGGTGATGGGAATCCAGGCTTCAAGCTTGCACAGCAATCTCCCCAGCAGGACTCTGCAGTTCTTAGTTCGTGTGTTTTCACCTGTGCAATGCCATTGCCGCCCCCTCTTCAGTATTCTAAAGGGTTACCTGGCTCACTCAGTTCATAGACAATAGAAAGGCAAGGCTTGGAGTTTGAATTTCTGCTGCTCTGAAAGTCTTAGCCATGGTAGGTGTAAGGATTCAGGCGCTATGCTGTCCTGCCCCTGTCACCTGGCAGAATGCACTCAGGCAGTACCCTGGTCAGCCCAGGGTTCCATGACTGCATAGTCTGCACACAGGTGCAAAGGATCCCTGTAAAGGAAAGACCCCGCCCATTTATGCTCTCTTTGCTGCTCCTCTCTTTCCCACTCTTATCTTTATCCACTCTCTCTTTCCCGCTGTTCCTCCGGGGCAGACAGGACTTTTCCTGTCTCCCTCTTCTCTTCTGTCCTCTCTCTGGGTCTCTGGGTCTCTACCTCTTTTCTCTTTCCTTCCCCCTTCTCTCCCGTTTCTAGTAAAAATTCTCACTTAAGCTCTGTCTGCGTGGCATGTTTGTCCCCTGCCTGGGTCAACCTCGCCTGCCATGGAATCCGCCAAGGTCCCCTCATACTTTGTTATAACAGTAGGGACAGTTCATCTCTGTGAACTGCTCCCCACATTCCCAGAGACTAGCATATGGTCAGCCTCTGGCGATGTTTGATGACAGACTGCATATGCCAGAGACCCTAGCCATCATAACAGACTGAGAATCATAATGCAGCTCCCGCCAGTCAGTCCTCAGGACACCACTCGTAAGACCATACAAAAGTCTGTGTTAGACCTTTTTAACAGAAGAGCAAACCAAGGATAAGTAACCACCTCCCTACAGGGTTTCTCTGTGTAGCCCTAGCTATCCTGGAACTCTGTCTATAGACCAAGCTGGCCTTGGACTCAGAGATCCCCCTGCCTCTGCCTCTGCCTC